ACTTCCATGTCACAGGTCTGGGTTCAAATCCTTCGTCTGGGTAAGATCCCCTCAGCCTTTCCCCACTCCAGATGATCAATAAATGAGTATTAAGCTTGGTTGGGAACTAAACACTGGTGGCTTCCCGTAAGACTGGTTAACTGACAGTGACATCTGCTCATGCTCCTTAACGCAAAGGGTCATAAAAATTAAGATCAATCCAGTTGACCTTGCCCTCTTTGGGCAGTTGCGCCACAGAAAGAGAGAATACTCTAATACTTATTATTAAGGTGTATTATCCTGTACTTAAAAATAGCAAGAATTTGTTTCCTTACAAATATTTGTTTTTGAAGCCACGTATCAAACACAGATAGTGTAAAAAAACTTACATATTTGCTGCTAAAATGTAAGGACATCTTATATTGGTTGTGGAAACTTATTGAGGCATTTTTGCGCGATGGGAATTTTTTTGGCAAAAAGTAACGTAGCTTACCGAATGTTGACCACTTTAAATCATTTTTAATAAGGATTCTAATATTCTCAACCATTTTTAACACATACATCTAATGCAAGGGTGGTCAACCTGTGCACGCGTGTCATAGTGTGGCACGGTAGAGTTCTAAGAGTAGAAAACAAAGATTTATTGAAAGATTAAAAAATTTGAAAAGCTAGTAATAAATACAATTTTTTTTACTGTTTTATTGAAAGGTGGTGGTTTAAGACAAATTAAAACATTAACATCTATTTTAAATACACTTACTTAAATAACAATGTAAAATTGTAATTTAGACAACACTCCTTCATTGTTGCGTGCGTTGGTTTTCCGAAGGAAGTGCATTTGTGAAATCTGGAATTAAAGGGAGCGTGTTTTAAAGTATCTGGAAAAATACAACGAACTGCTTAGTGAGTGATTGTTCTCAAGAATGAAGATAGGCTTTGATATTTAGGTTTTCTTACTGATACTACAAGGCATTTAAGGTATCCGAACACGTTCAGAGTACTTTTTAACAAAATAAGCATACTAAAACATTATAAATGCTCTTTTATGATTCAATACCAATAAATATTACTATTTAACTATCAATATTTAAAATAAATTACCTGAAATATACAAAAATCCCAATTATAAGTGAAATTTTAGCAATATTTTTGTAAAACTTCAAAGCAGTTAGAGAAAAAGTAATAAACATATATTAGTAAAAGTATTACTAAAACAAATTAGATGCATTTATCTAGAAAATGTACTAAAATTTTATTTTTTTATTATAGTTTGAAAATTTTAGAACTGATTGAATAAACATTATAAGAAATGTTACACTTTTTATGAGACCTTCATTTAAAAAACAAGGCATAACTCAAAAAGTAATCATACAATAAGATATATTTTAGTACATTCTCTAGAAAATAACATAAATATCAGGTTCAGAAAGTTTTATAGAAATACATTCATAATATTTTGAGTTATCAGACTCGCCATGATAGATTTTGAACCATTTAAATACCCACTTCCGGTTTTTCAAACTTTATAAAATTGATTGTAACGTGGCTTCTAGGTAGTGTAGAAACAAAACAAAGTATGTTTCGTAAAGTCAAAAGATAGCTCTATTCAATAAAATAAAAAACAAAAATATCTGCCTTGACTGAATTTGGTCATTTTCAACGCGTTCGGATACCTAAATAATTTAAATTTAAGATTACAAGGAAAAGAGTGTTCTTTTTTTTCCAATCCTGATTAATTATATATCTTCTTTTATGAAGGCACTTTGACTTTTTTTGTCTCGATTTTAGAGAAAAAAAGAGAAACTGATGCACACCTAGAACAATCCGATTCTGTTAACATCTTTGAGAACTGATCTTAATGTATATATATAGATGACTCAGTAAAACAATCTACGAAATAAAAAACCCCACTAAGAAAGTACCTACTGCTTAGTAATTATTTAGAATTAAATTTTTCTGGTTACTCATTTTTGTTTTATATATACCTGATCTAACTGATTAAAACTGAAAAGAAAATTTTAACAATAAAACTTAAGCTCGTACTTTTGTCTTATTTATTATATTATTTTTAAATCTCCAATACTTAGACTTGTATAAAATATGTGCTATTTACGTAAAAACTTCATAAGTGACACGCATAACTTTTTTTTATTAGATAGTGGAGCTCTTCCCAAAAAAGTTGGCGACCCCTGATCTAATGTAAAATCTGGACATTCAGAGAGTTTCTGAAAACAAACGTAAACACTCTAACGGAGAAATTAATTGTCCCACTGATTGAACTAAGTTTGTCAACAAACAGATCGTACAAAATCAAAACAAGATCGTATTTTCAAGAAAAAAAATAATAACATTCTTTAAAGCATTTTTTAATTATATCTAAGAAAACATGAACAACATAAAAATTTCCAGAAATATACAATTTTGGAAAAAAAAGTATAAGGATTAATGCACATTAAAAAATTAAATATAAGATTAAAAATTGTCAAAACATTTTATGTGGCGCTATCTTGGGAAAAACTGTAGAAAAAAATAAAAACCAAACTGAAATAGTAATAAAAAATATAAATAAACAAAGTCATAAAAAAAGTCAATGGCATTAAATTTGTTAGAAATATATGTACAAAGAAAATTAATAGGAAAATCATGATCGAGGCTATGATTAGTAAATTTTTATTGTTAGCAATTTCCTATATTATTATTAACTTAAATACCAACTTCAATACTTTAAATATAATTTTAAAAATAGTTAGATTGTGTATTACACTTTACAATTTCTTTTAAAAAATAAATAAACTTAACTTAGGTAGTTTTAGATAATTCTTTTCTTATTTGAACTTTGAAGAATATCAAAGTTTTTTTTTGTTGTTAAATTTCTTTTAAACATATTACTAAGGTTTTCTTACAAAAGAAAACTTTCTTCTTCTGTTTCCTTAAACTTTCTCTAAAAGAAAAATAAATATATAAAAAGCGAAGAAAAACGCAGCGTTAAGTGAAGTTAAGGTATATTATGTCTTTCTTTTTTCGTAACGATTGTCAAATATTTTCTTAAGTTTTATTTTCATTGATTTACCTGAAAATTCTTTTAAATACAAATACGGTTTCAATTTACAGACTCCCATGAGATTAATTTATAAAAAATAACAAGCAAGAATTTCCGACTTCCGTAATTCTTCATTTATTTGACTGGTTTCACAGGAGTATGTTTGCCTGATCTCCAGAAAAAAAATGTAGGAAAATATTTAAAGCAAACTCTTTTATTGAAGAATTTTACTTTTATCTCTTTCCTCTGTATTTATTTTTACAGTTAAAGATAGATTTTTAAGTTATTTTAAGTGGCAGAGATAACCGCAAGCGACCATTTTGCTCTCTTCATTTTTGTAATTGAATCTTGCACATGTACATTTCTACTGGCCAACATGAGTAGTTTTTTCTTCTATAACTTTTATTTCGACAACGGAATTCCATGCTGGAAATACTAGTTCCCGTCTGATCCCTGAAGTTAAGCATCATAGGTCGGAGTCAATGCTTAGGAGGGTGATTACCGGGGATTACCACGTGCCTTTGAGATTTGTTTGCCGGCAGGGTGGCGTAGTTGGTTTGTCACTGGCCTTTTGCACCTTAAGTTGCAGGTTCAATCCTTGCTCAAGTTGATGGATTTTCATGATGCAGTTAATCGACAGCGTCCAGGCTGTATGATTATCACTTAGAGTGCCTGTTTGGTTGGGGTGCTCTCAAAAAGATTAAACTTTTAGAACCATTCCACATCGACAGAGCTCAGATATATCTCTCTAGAGGAGAAAACGGGGTGTCAAAATTATAAGGATTACCCAAATGAAAAGTGGACACGTGCAGTTGTGTCAATATTATTGTATTTATAACAGCGATACCGCGAATGGACATGAAGGGAGTTAGGAGGTGTACACCGCATACGACGTGCAATGATAAAACCAGTTTTTGGTAGAGGAAAAAGATTAACAAGTAATGTCATGTGTTTCATGAATGCGTCTATATCGGAGCAATGCGCAGTAGTATGGTTTCTGATTGTGGAAGGTGAGCTGAATGTAAGAAGTTATCAGCGTAGGGGGTCAGTCTGCGGAGCACTGCCTAGTTTAAACAATTGGTGCAAAAGTTTTCTTCAATGGTACCAGATCTCCATGACAATGCCGGCTTCAATGTCTGTCATGAAGCTAAAAAAACCTTAATAATGCTTTTGTTGATAAAATTTGGAACAACCCCGTACAGTCCGGATTTTTGTACCTGAAAGCTTTCACGCTTTTTTCCACTTAAATTGAGCATTACGTTTTCATTTGGACGATGAGGTTCACTTCATCGTCCAAGCTTTGCAAAACTTCCTTGAGAATCAAACACAATATTTCTACATTGAAGACTTATACCTACTGTCGAAACAATGAGATCTGTGCTACAACGCCCAAGGCAATTTATTTTAAATTCCAATAAACGTATTTTTTTCAAATTATTCACTTTTCATTTGGTCCACCTTTATACACTATGGTGATTGGTATTTCACCTATATGGTGCCGCACTTAAAAGTGACACCAGTTTAAAAAGAAAATCTAGGTCTGCAATAGTAGATACCAATCCACAGTCCCATTAGAAATTTACAAAAACATGCAACGTGTCTGTATTCTTAACACATAAATAAAATATCTTTTCTTAAGCATGCAATATTTATCAAATAAATAGGCTCTCAAATGCCATGTAGAACACTGAAATATTTAGCCATGCATCAGGAAACCTAAGAAATCGGTAGTGGAATTTTCATCATTCTTAAAAAGTAAAAATAAATGAATCTGCTGTTATGTAGATTATTTAAGAACGTTGAAGACATTCGGACTTTGTCTTCTTAAAAAAAGACGGATTTTTCAACCATATACAGGTGATTATAAAAAATTGGGAACATGTAAGATTTACAAAGAATTCTTTTTTAGAATGGTATAGGTAGGCTTTTTTAGAATGGTATAGGCAGGTATAGGTAGGCTTTTTTAGAATGGTATAGGCAGGTATAGGTAGGCTTTTTTAGAATGGTATATCCTTTGGTCGCTAATACAGCTTGGATTTCCTTAGGAACTGATTCATACAATTGCTAAATGGTGTTTAGAGCAGAGTTTCTGAAACTCTACCAGAGGTCGCGAGCATATTGAAAAGTCGGAAACAAAAGATTATTTTTAAAAATTGCTAATTTATTAAAAGTAAATAAACAAAATGCGTTTTGATGTAATCAAAAATAAAACTGATATGTACACTGATATAATAAAATTATAAATGCATTATTTATAAAATAATTATGAATGTATTTTATAATTAATTTAACAATACTAAGTTAAGAACAAGATTAATAATTACAAGTGACTCTACAAGCTTGTCAAATATAAAATTACTCAGAAAAAATATTCTTATCTTGGTAATTTGTACCCTTTACTAACGATTAAATGTTGCGCGATTGGCTCCCGAATGTCATCATTTTCCACGTAGGAGCACTATGTATTGGGGGGAGGGAGGGGAGAGGACAGAAGAATAGAAATAATTAAGTAAATCCTTCACAAACACACTGTAAAGGTCCTTTTATTGCATTTTAATACCTGCAGAGTAATTTTATGGATAGCAGTGCACAGGAAAGATCGTACTTCGGAAATATGTATATATATATATATATGTTCGGGGCAATCAAGTCTTTTGCTGAGCGAGACGTTTGCATACGCTAGTGGCACTTAAGGGGTTAAAATCTTATTGTAGCTTTAAAGTCAAATAATAGTATTATTGAATTCAATACATTGTTATTGTATGGAGGGGGGAGCATGATGAAAATTATGATTTAATATTGGGTCGCACATATTGAAAGTTTGAGAAGCACTGGCTTAGAAGAATATTATACCATTCTTCATGGAGATGTTGTGAAAGTTCTGGGAGAGACATTGCGGTAGGAGATATAGATTCCGCATTGAACACTCTAAAATAAACCGTAACGGTTCAATTATATTAAGAACAGGTGACTGTGCGGGGAAAAGTAGATTTTTAACTTCATCCTCGTGTTTATCGAACCATGATTAGACAAGTCCCGTCGCATGGATAGGGGCGTTATCATCCTGGAAAATTCCATCTCCAGCTGTCAACAATGTTTACATCATAGAATGGACAAAGCCAGTTAAATTTTCTCAATATTTGTTAACAGGAATCCTTCCTTTCAGGGTAAAAATTGGCCAAGCGGCAAACCACAACTCGGCTGCCTAAATCAGTACAGAGCCAACTCCATGCCTTACATTTGGAAACAGAAATCACGATCATACGTTTGTACAGGTGTCCTCCAAAGTGCACCCGTCCTTTTGTAGAGAAAAGTATGAAAGACGATTCGTTGACCATATTACTTTCGTTCACTTATCAATCAACTAAGATTTGTGAGTGTGACACCATTGTAGACGAGGGCTTTCATTAACATTTGTGAAAAATGTCTTGGGAATTGTTGCTCTGCCGTAAATGCTCTGTTTATGAAGGATTCTTCTAGCTGTAATCATTAACACTGGAGAATCTAGATGCTATTTGGACTCTGCGGTCACTTTTGCTGCAGTTGTTTGCCTTTTAAGGCTTACTATCCGCTTCAATACCTGCTTATATCATTCACTGAGCTTCTATCTCCGTTTACTATTTTGCTTTCCAGAGCTTGTCTTATATGCTGTCATGATTTTTTTTGTCCGCACCTCTAGAAACGCCATAAAGATTGGATGTTTAGGTCACACTTGCTCCAGCTAGATGGACTTCTACAATCTGGCATTTTTGAAAATCTGAAAGATCCGACATTTTATGATTTTGAAAGAAAGAAATTCCAAGACTTAGAGAATTTTAATAAACCTACCACATACTATTAGAATATAAACATTTCTAATTATAAGAATAAAGTAGCTAATATTATTTTCCAATGCTTCCGAAAAGCATTTGAAAATATCGCTTTTATTCACAACTGTTTCAATTGTTTTGATAACCAACTGTATGTACTTTTATACGGATTTCTTAAGTACATTGAAATGTCTTTCATGTAGCGTAATTTTCTGGAAGACAAATAAAGAGCAAATATAAATTCAATGAAACGTGTCAAAATGATATTTACTCTATATCTTGCTTTGTAGCGAGTTGCCTCGCGTTTTCTAATTTTTGGAGTTCAATGTTGATTGATTGATTTTAGAACCTCGCCTTGTGAAGGAACAATGATATATAAATCAATACTGCTGTTTAAAAAGATGTGATGTAACATTAGAGGGCTAAAAGATTGTAATTGTATAAAGGTATTTCTGAATTCGACCTACAAAAGCAAAAGTTGGTCACCGAGATGGGTGCATTTTTCTTTTAATTGAAAAATGAACTTTTGTATTTAAATTTATTCCAAAATGGGGAAAATATTTGTTTGTTTACATTTGTTCTGTTATCAAATGAGACTTGGCTAATATGCGAGAATTCCTTGAATTGTTCGTTTAATGTATAGTATATTTGATAAATTGTTTGTATTTATGTATATATATGTATATATTATCTGGTTTAAAGACGCGGCGTAAATAAGAACAAATAACAATAACACTAACTGCACAGCGCGAATGGGAAGGGGAGTTGTTTTTGAAAAAAAAAACAGATGGTGTTTATTGATGTCAGTGGTCTTCAAACTGTGTTCCACCAAACCCTGGGGTTCCGCAAGTTTTACCCAGAGGTTCCACGAGAGACAATTAAAAATAGAGGAGATAAATATGTATGCAAAATGGTTTCACGTTCTCGATGAAATCTGTATAGTTACAAGTATATACCCCTCCCCAAACTTATTCATTAAAAAACTGAAAAATTTATTTATGGATAAAAACTTTATTTTGCAACATTTTTTAAACTTTTATCATAATATAATAAAAGATTATTAAAACGTTTTATCATTTTATGCATATACTTCTTAACGGATTGTGAATATTCTATTGTTTACTATCTCGAGTCCCACGAGATAATTTTATACTCGTTAGTAAACAAAATGTCTTGCAAAACTAAATAGTTTTCCAATGGAAACCTTTTTACATTTGGGGAAAACTACACCCATAATGAACGAAATGGAACTAGCAACATATCAACAGAGGTGATGTTAAAATTCAAATTTAAGCAAGAATAGTTTCTAAATTTTTGATTGCAAATGCACGGGATTTTTCATACAGCTCTAAACATTTAAATGCCATTCAGAACATTGTGTTTAAGTTAAATATATTTCTCAACGTAAGTGGATACAAAAACAAAGTACAAAAGCAAATTAAACTCAGAATATGGGATTGAATTTGATCTTAATAGACCTAGACTTCGACTGTTTGTGTAAAAACATACTAGGATATACCCCAGTTACTAAATATAATGCATGTGTTGGTGGTACTTGAATCCCAAATTAATATTATAAATGCGTAAATGATATTAAAAAATTAGATTAGTATTTTTAATAACAAATGCAATGATTTTAAATAACTTTATATAGAGTAATAAACATGATGATCTACTTCAAATATTATTTTGAGATCTATTTTTTGAAGT